AGAAAGGTTTATGTACTTTTCTTGCTGCAGTACTACCTTTTGCTTTTTTATACTGAAGGCACTTTAGTTCTCGTATATCTTCTCGTTCAGAACAACAAGCTGATCCCGCCCCCGCTGCAGAATCTTCGGTACCAAATGGTGATTCTAATGGACACGAAGAAGCCACAGTTGACAGCCAGAAACCTTCAGATCCAGTACCAGCAGCTGAGCCCAAATCAGAAGGAGCTGCTGAGGGAAAGGTATCTTTTGGGAAGGGGTGGTTCTTCTTTTCTCATCTGTGCTGCTCAAAGATGTTCAATTTCTCTTTTTTTCTTTTAAAATTCAGTCCTTTAAGTTGAAACAGCTTCTTCAGGAAAGTGCAATGGATACAAGTGAACCAGCGGAAGCAAGTGAAGCGAAAGTTACCGGTGATGTACCCCCTCAGGAAGAAGATAAGGGTGACAGTGACACGGAAAAATGGGAAGTTGTGGAGGAAGAAGAAGTAAGTAAGGTGAGTATGGAAAGGCTCATTTATTTATCTGCAACAATTAATGATAACTCAATAATTACAATTATATTGCCTCATCTTATAAGCCAAAGTTTTAGGCTAAAGAGGCAGAAGCTGCTCAGAAGGAGAAGGAAGCAGAAGAAGCTAAGGCAGCAGAAGAAGCTGCGAAGCCAGCCGAAGCTGAAGAGGTGCATATCTCATCTAATTTTTGCATATTTCTCATTTGCTTCATAATTTTTTGCAGCCAACGGAGGCTGCGGCTGAGCCTAAAGAGGATGCTGACGCACCTGTCGAGGGAGCTCATGTTGCACCAGAAGTACCTGCTGAAGTAGTGAAGCCAGAAGAGAGCAAAAGTGAAGCAGCAGAACGAGAAGAGAAGCAAGATACTATGGGGAAATCAACCGCAGCAACGACGGTTGGCATTACTATATTAAATCTGCCACGTTAAGCATCTCATTATAGGATACAAAGGATGAGCCTATGGATACAAGCAATGAAAAACCGGCGGAAGAAAACGAGAAACCAAAAGAAGTTGACGCTGAGTCTCCGGCAGTTGCACCCACTCCAAGTGGAAGAGGAAGAGGGCGTGGTTAGTTGTGCATGTCTCTGGATTTCTCGTAGTAATTTATCTCATTCTTGAGTACTTCATGATAAAGCCGTTATAGGTCGTGGACGTGGTCGAGGTCGACCAGCTGGAGCTGCCACTACTCCTCGCGCACCGCGTACTCCACGTGCTCCAGCACCACCTTCCGAAGATACGGTAAGAGTCGTAGCCTGTAATTCACCGAACATACAGTTTATTGTTCTAGCCTTCTTCAATCGCATCATCACGACCACGCCGTTCCACATCTACCCGTGTTGATTACGCTAATCCTGATACATCTACGGTTCTTGCTGAAGTAGATGATGAAATTCCCGGCAAGCTGTTCCGCGTGAGTTTGTAGCTTGAATGCTATATCAATAATTGTGCTGATTTCGATTTACCGTTAAGGCTGGGCGCGGTCGTGGCGGTCGTGGCAGAGGCCGAGGGCGAGGTAAACGTGGCGCTTCTGATAGTGATAGTGATCAGCCGGCTAGCGACGAAGATGATGTGGTAGGTTACATCCCGAGCGAAAATCTTTCCAAACCTCATGGTATAGTTACAGGAATTTGGCAAAAAGAAGAGAGGCGCTGCTCGAGGTCGCGGCCGCGGAAGAGGACGTGGACGCGGTAGGGGAGCTGCTGCCGCTTCCCATAAGGGTAAGCGACGTGAGGATTCCGAAGACGACGATGATAACGAAGTAGTCTACGACGACTCGAAATCGGATGATGGCGCTGAGCCTGGGAGTGGAGATGAGGTAAGGCTTCAATTCTCATGCATTCTTCTCATTATGGTTTGACGATTTCATATCTTTCAGGTCTTGCCAAAAAAGAAACGCGCCGCAGGTGCCGACCACAATCTGCCACCGAAGAAGAGAGGAAGGGCCGCCGATGATTAAATTGATTATCGAATGGTTAGTAGCACGTTTTACAGCATGCTGCTATATATTTTTACCTTCCTTTAGTAAGCTGAACCTCAACTGCTTCTTCCACTCATGGTTATGTGGATTCGCCTCAGTATCTGTATAATCTCTGCCAGGTACTCCTCCATAAATTCGTGTCTGTTGTTGATATGATCTATGCCGTTTGCATTTTGATTTCTCACTATTTTCTCTTAAGTATCTGAAGAATTTTGTGGTTTATGTCTAACCTCGTGGCTGCCTTACGAGCAAGCTTTGATTGTTTGGAGGCCTCTATCTGATCTGTTTAATCTCTTTTCTAACGTTAACGATTCCGAAGTCATGAGGGTCTCATGTAGACATTAACACACGTATTCTGTTATTGTACATATAGCCGTGTAGAGTTATCAGGTCTCATATTCTTTTTTTTTTCGTTTTGTTATCATATGTTTGCCTTCATGGCAAAAGCAATAGAGATGAGCGTTTATGCCTATATTGGGTTCAAACGGTTATCTCTTTAAGACAAGTTTTGCAAATCATCTGCTCGTCGTTTTTGTACTTGAGTTCTAACTCTTATAGAGAATTCAAAACGTGAGTTGATTTTCTTCAGCTTGTTTGAATTTGCAAACTTGCTTTTTGTACTTTTTTTGTTCAAGATGCAAACCTCAAAGTATTGGGAGTAGTGTGTTTTGTCACATTGCCGTTCGGAATGTGTATATCTCAAATTAGTTTATTCCTCATCTTTCATGTTCAGTGTTCATCAGTCTGTATCATGCTCGTCGAATTGGCGAGATGTTGTTGTTTTATTGTTTCAGTATCTGATCGTATTGTACCTTGATTCTCGTGAACAAGGAGAAATGCTTACTGAACTGTTCTATGGCACTCTATATTAATAAACATTTGATTGTTA